ATTTTTCAATTTTCAATTTACAATCAGTTACAATTTTCCAAGTCTACATTACACACAGAAATCACAATAGCGCGATGCATCAAATGAACAAAGTTCTTCGGTTTCAATTCTTTTAACCATGTCGTAGCTCAGTCGATAAAGACAGCGTCTGGGATGATCTCGGACTTAGATTCGAACCCTCGTCACGGCCCTTGTGGATTTGTTCATTTGATGCATCACGCTATTGTGATTTCTGTGTATAGTGTTTCAACAGCCATCAATACTCTCTCCGTGGGTCAACAACAGCAACAACAGCAGTATTGATCATCGACCAAGGAAAATCACTTTCCACAAAAGCCTTCAGAAATTGTGTCAAAAGTTGTACTATGGAAATGTTTGTCTCTAGTCAAGTGCAGAATGTTTGCATTTAGCCAAATAAACTAATAATTGTACCTCATCTGAAGGTTTGAAACTATCTGTACAAATAATGAAAATATATGGCAAATGTTTATTAAAATCTTATATATATATATATATATATATATATATATATATATATATATATATATATATATATATATATATATTATATATATATATATATATATTAATATATATATATAATAGGATATATGACTGAAGTGTTCAAATAGCTTCGGCTATCACTTCCTTATGTCCGGTCGTGATGGTCAAGCGGATTAAGGCGTCCTGTAGTTACCAGTTGCGTTGCTCCTTGGAGTATGGGTTCGAGTCACTTCTGGGGTGTGAGTTTTCAGTCGCATATAGTCCTGGGGACCATTCGGCTTGTTCGCATATATATATATATATATATATATATATATATATATATATATATATATATATATAATATATATATATATATATATATATATATATTAAGGACCCATAGCCTCGGAGAAGAAAATAAAAGTATTCAGAGAAGACCTTGTGGATTCTCATTGAACACTTTAATCTTTTCTTCTCCTACCACCCCTATTCTTTTTTATTAATTCAAAAATTATATGTACTGTAAATTAATGAATTTGGCTTTGTTGTGAGTCTGATGAAATTAGACATAGGTGAGTTCCGGCTTAGTATACATGTTCCAGCTTAGTATACATGTTCCAGCTTAGTACACATGTTCCAGCTTAGTATACATGTTCCAGCTTAGTACACAAGTTCCAGCTTAGTACACATGTTCCAGCTTAGTATACATGTTCCAGCTTAGTATACATGTTCCAGCTTAGCATATAGAACAATATAACTTTAGTGTATTCTATAAATATTAGTCTACGGTTAAATATATAAACTTTGCACTGGTCAGAAAACTGCAGCAATATAGGTGGAGATATATAATTTAACATGATATACTTTCGTATTTCTCTCTGATATAACACTGTATTGTCCTTCTCTATAATTTAACATTTTATCGTCTTTTTTTCTATAAACATAATACTGGAAATATTGTAATTTAATACTTTACTGTCTTTCTCTGTAAATTAAAACTTTATTTTGCTTTTCTCTGTAATATAACAGTTTATTGTCTTTCATTTTTCTCTATAAATATATATAAATTCTCTATAAATACTGGAAATTTTGGAATTAATTTTAGGCAAATTTTTATTTCGAAACTTTTTGTTCTTAAAGACTGATGAGGAATGACAGTAGGGTGAGGAATGTACAAGGTGCTAGGGAGAGTGGTAGTGAGAGTGCAGATGGTATTATACACTGAAACAGCTGTGTATAGCGACTATGATATGTGTATAGTGCTGTATGATACATCATACAGCATACACCAATACAGTACCGTATAGTATCACACATTTTGCAAATGTATGTTTATGCAATAGCGCAATGTACCTCATATCATACAATATACGCTAAATGTATAATAAATACATTTAAATCTGTAGTTTAAGCCTCCCCTATGGGGGCCTGACGGCTGAGTAGACAGTGCTCCGGATTCATAGTCCTGAGGTACCGGATTCGATCCCCGGTGGAGGCGGAAACAAATGGGCGGAGTTTCTTTCACCCTGATGCATATCCCTGTTCACCTAGCAGTAAATAGGTACCTGGGAATTAGACAGCTGCTACGGGCTGCTTCCTGGGGGATGTGTAACAAAAAGGAGGCCTGGTCGAGGACCGGGCCGCGGGGACGCTAAGCCACGAAATGCAAGAACCTCCAGTAGCTGAACTCATGGACCCCGTGTTCAGTCCGTGTTCACGAGACCATATTGAACACGAACAGAACTGCCGTCTTTTGATTCTTGTTCAGCCGCCGTGTGGAGCATAGGAAACAAATCTAAGAATTAAATCCTGTTCTTGAAATCTAAGAATTAAATCCTGTTCTTGAAATCTAAGAATTAAATCCTGTTCTTGAAATCTAAGAATTAAATCCTGTTCTTGAAATCTAAGAATTAAATCCTGTTCTTGAAATCTAAGAATTAAATCCTGTTCTTGAAATCTAAGAATTAAATCCTGTTCTTGAAATCTAAGAATTAAATCCTGTTCTTGAAATCTAAGAATTAAATCCTGTTCTTGAAATCTAAGAATTAAATCCTGTTCTTGAAATCTAAAAATTAAATCCTGTTCTTGAAATCTAAGAATTAATCCTGTTCTTGAAATCTAAGAATTAAATCCTGTTCTTGAAATCTAAGAATTAAATCCTGTTCTTGAAATCTAAGAATTAAATCCTGTTCTTGAAATCTAAGAATTAAATCCTGTTCTTGAAATCTAAGAATTAAATCCTGTTCTTGAAAATCTAAGAATTAAATCCTGTTCTTGAAATCTAAGAATTAAATCCTGTTCTTGAAATCTAAGAATTAAATCCTGTTCTTGAAATCTAAGAATTAAATCCTGTTCTTGAAGACCATTTTCTCTGTAATCATTCATCTGACAGAAAATAATATGACGGAATGATAGAGCTACAAACTTATATTTATTATATAATATATTGTATAATAAATTATATTATTTTGTAATATATTTTTTGGTGAGCTGGCTTGGAAAGGTATATTCCTGCTTGTTTCTCAGCTGTGGGGTCGTCTGAGTGATAATTATAGGTGATAAATTATATGCATCCCCACTTGCAGTACCACACACACACACACACACACACACACACACACACACACACACACACACACACACACACACCACACACCACAAACACACACACACTTCAGGAACTTGTACACCAGTTGATTGACAGTTGAGAGGCGGGACCAAAGAGCCAAAGCTCAACGACCGCAAGCACAACTAGGTGAGTACTACTAGTGAGTACACACACACACACACACACACACACACACACACACACACACACACACACACACACACACACACACACACATATATATATATATATATATATATATATATATATATATATATATATATATATATATATATATTAAATTATATTACATATAGACTAACGTACATTCAAAATCAAAATTCATTTAATAATAATATAAAATGCCCAGTTAAACCAACAAAGCATATTGTATTATTAAAGAGCTTGTTGCGTGAATCTTGCTATCATAAACAGTTTGGTTATGTATTAAAGATAAATCAATATATCAATATATAAACATATATCAATCACCCATTAACATACGTGAGAATAGGAAGTTGATCTTCACAAAGAATACGAGAATTTCAGATATAATAGTATTATATATTTACACATGTTTCTACGTATACATTTGACAATATACATAATACACACTGGGGGGGGGACATAAATATATCAAATATATCTAACCACGATGAAATATGACACAAATAAATAAGATAATGATTCTTATCGAATAGGGGTGAAGTGTTAAGGGAGAGTTCGAGTCAAATCCAAAAAGGGCCGTAACGAGGATTCGAACCTGCGTCCGGGAGCTTCCCAGACACTGCCTTTTACGTTCCAGTAAGTTCAGTAGAACTTCTGGTTTCAACTCTTTTTTTTGACCATGTCGTAGCTCAGTCGATTAAGGCAGCGTCTGGGATGCTCCCGGACGCAGGTTCGAATCCTCGTCACGGCCCTTGTGGATTTGTTCTTTTGAGAGTCTCTCACAGGCGGCAGGATAGTCACAGGTCGCAGGCTAGTCACAGAGGCGTCAGGCTAGTCGCTACAAACGTATATACAGGACCTTCTATTCCCGTCTACTCTCGCGCAGATCGTCAGGATCGAGAACCACTGTATACAGGATTATTTTACAGAGTTAATATCACACGGCTTTGGAGGGGGCGGAGTTGGGATGTTTGGCGGGAGACACATGCGACGTTTTCCCAGCTATGTACACAGCGAAACGTTCACAAGCGAACTAAAGCTATAATAGTCAGTCGAACCCGTTAAAGTCTTGGTGGCCTTCTAAAAAATAAAAGAGGACTTAACACCTGACTTAAATGCCTTCGTCAGTAGGCTGATCTCTCTTCCTACTCTGGAGGGTGTGTGTGGGGAGCTTAGCTGATCATGAGCTTAGATGATCATGAGCTTAGATGATCATGAGCTTAGACGATCATGAGCTTAGACGATCGGTAGCTTAGACGGTCATGAGCTTAGCTGATCGTGAGCTTAGATGATCATGAGCTTAGATGATCATGAGCTTAGACGGTCATGAGCTTAGCTGATCGTGAGCTTAGATGATCATGAGCTTAGATGATCATGAGCTTAGACGATCATGAGCTTAGACGATCGGTAGCTTAGACGGTCATGAGCTTAGACGATCATGAGCTTAGCTGATCGTGAGCTTAGATGATCATGAGCTTAGATGATCATGATTTTAGACGGTCATGAGCTTAGACCATCGGTAGCTTAGACGATCATGAGCTTAGACGATCATGAGCTTAGACGATCATGAGCTTAACTGATCGTGAGCTTAGACGATCATGAGCTTAGAGGATCATCCTCATTAGCTAATGGTCGTCCAGCGGGGACGTTGGTCTCCGGACACTGACGCTGATGGAGGAAGGGAGAAAGGAGAGGGAGGGAATGTGATGGACGAGGTCTGAGTCCCGGTTCGAGGGAGTATTTTGCGACACGGACAACGAGGCAACTGAAGAATTGAGGGTGATTTGGGTGGTTGATGTGGCCGTAACGAGGGAGGTCACCTGTCCGGTCATTAGCGACGCTGAGACGCTGTTTGGCGTCTCCTGCGGAGAGTCCGAAGACTCTGACAGCGAGAGGAGAGATGCGATGGAAAATGTGGAAGGACGAGGCCGCTTTGGCGGTGGGGTGGTTGGGCTCTTGGGCGAAGTGGGCGTGGGCGTGGGCGGCTCCTGCGAAGACGAAGAATCGCGAGTTGGATTGTCATCGAAGTCGCGAGTGTCTTCGGAATCGGAGCAGTCGCCCACCACATCGATCTCAGGCTCCGGCTTGTGTTGGTTCTCGTACTCGCGCCGCAGCTGCTCGATGGTCACGTGGACGCCCTTGAGGGTCAGCTTGCGCTGCTGGCGCTCCAGCTGCTTCAGGATCTTCTTCTCCCGCCGAAGTCGCTCTCGGCGTTCCAGTTCTGCAGGAGGGATGGGTTCGCCCGAGCAGGTCTGCGGGTGGGCGTTGTGGGCCGGGCGTCCCGGGCCCTTCCGGGTCTGCTCTTTCTTGCGCCACTTCGCGCGACGGTTCTGGAACCAGACCTGAAAGGAAGAAATATGCATTGAATGCCTGGAATCTGAACAGGCTTCCGGAAGGTCCCCCGTAAATCACGCTCATTGACGGCGCATATACTGCTTGCTTGACACACACACACACACACACACACACACACACACACACACACACACACACACACACACACACACACACACACAATAGGAACACATTAAGCCACCCTCACATCAGCAAATGCGTAAATATTTACACATCCGAAGTTATCTGTCTTGATGAAAAAAAAAGGAAAATAGATTTGTCATATGTGGTGGAGGTTGACAGTCAGCGCCAGCTGTCAATACCTGTCACTCACCAGTCAACTGCAGCTCCAATACACTCCTGTGCACTTGTTCCACCGCCAACTAACTCAACTGAGATGACTCAGTTGAGTTGAAATGCGTCAACTGAGAGAGAGACAGAGGGCGTCGAGTCACCAATACTCACGGCCGTATTATCGAGCGACAATTCAATTTGTGTCACCTTAACTGCCGAATGCGGACTGCGTGTGGTAATGGCGGCTCCGTCTACCATGATAATAGATATCCCCCCCCATTCCACCCTCTGTCCCACCC